TAGTGAAAACTCAATCCCACATCAGGAGAGGTACAATTCCGAAAACAAACAGAACTTGAAACCAAATTGGCAGACAATAGCATTGTAAAATAGTAAAACGAAAGCGAAGAGAAGTCCAACAAGGGAAAAAAAAATTCATGCCACTCCAAGACTTTTTCATTGATACTCAACCTAATATCATTTAGGGAAAACTGTTGATATGCATCGCGGCGAAAAATTATTGAAACACGGAGAGCAAAGAAACTTAGTTGTTGGACTGGAAAGCATACTCCACAACATCGCACCCACCAGAATATTATTCTTCCTCTAAAAGTAAAAAACACAGCGATGGCGAAGAGGACATATCAAATTGAGACGAAGAAGATACTTTGCCATCACATGAACATCAATCGACGACAGATAAGCCATCACACGAACCACCAAAATCAAACACTCCGGCCAGACTCGAGATCTACTAAAAGAGAGCCCAGATCCAGAAGAGAGAAGTCCACCAACACCAATTTTAAACTATTTCACTTGTTTAAAATTCACAAATTTGAAGTCCTTATTTTTTTTTCTTTTTCTTTAGAAAGATTTTGAAGTCCTTATTGCATAACGATTTATTTTACTATTATTTACCAGATTATTATGTATTGGTTGTGGCCCATTAGTTAAGTCACAATCATATACATATTATTACAACTGGATTAATCTGTAAATAATCTAATTTTAATTAGTTTATTTTTTATGCTAATAACTTATAAGTATTTCATTCAAATCTGACTCGAAACAGTTTCAAATCCGGTCATAAGCAAAACAAAAAACTATATTTTATTTAAATAAACTCATAAGCAAACAAAATTACAAAAATAAAAAAATTCATCCACAAGGAATCTAAATTAGCTTAGGTCCGATCATAAAAAAAAAAAAATCAGCCTAAAGTGAATCTCTAATCTTTAAATTAACATATTTCGTTAATATGTGGCAGAGAACGTTTGCAGAAGTTTTCATTCATAACCAAATGCTTACTTCAACACTTTTTGGCTTTGCCTTCTTCACAAGCATTCCCATAAATATAATTTCTCTTTCTTTTTTTTTGTTGAAGGCAGAGCATATAAACCATGTTATTCTAGAAGAGGATAAATATGAAAGGTATTTTTGGCTCACAAGAAATGTGTATACACTTGTCTGGTTGTTCCATAGATCATGTATGGAAATAAGATTATATTATATGGTTTTTTATTTGTTACTCATTGGTCCACTGACATTAGAACAATCTTTCTACATAAAGTTATGTAGAAGAAACAAATACAAATGACATTTTCATTCCTTATCCTGCATTCGATGATGCAAGTGTAATACGGATAAGAATTCCCATTCTCATTCTGTGTCATCTTTTCTTTTGCTTTTTTAGTTTTTATCTATAACAAATTCGAAACTAAAAATTTGTTTTTCTTCGAGTTTGTGAATTCTTATCAATAAAAACTTTTTCTTGGTTGAAGTGATTTAAGTACTTTTTCTGTTACATAAATGATGGGAATTAATAATTTAAGAGCCTGAAAATCTTATCTACTAATGTCAACATCATATGAAAATGATGGTGGTGGATAATGTTTAACGTTATAACTGCCACCCCCTTTTCTCTTAAGTACCCAACTAAATTTCATTTATTTATTTCGTTAAAAGACATATTAGTCCCTCTTTTGTTGTCAACACTTTTCTTTATTCACAATCAATCAATTTATATTTTTTATGTTCCTATTTAAATTTCACAATCAATCAGTTATATTTTGTTTGTAGAATATATCATTCAAGTGATTTCGATGACTTTGTTGTAGTAACTGG